GTTCTTTTACCCCCCCCCCCATTTTCTATTAAAATAATTATCCAAGTAGTGTATGGTAGAGACACAGAAATACAGTACAAAAGCACGAAAGGTTTCCATTACATACTCAACAGCTGTTCTCAAACAAAGAAAGGCAGTAAGATAAAAATGCCGGATGAATCAAGAGCTTAAAAAATAGATTTCAACTTCTGGTGTTAGATAGAAAGGAAAGGAGAAGCATTGGGGCTCCCTCAGCTGGGGGGAAGGATGCTATCTGAGGCTTTGGGGCTGTTCAGCTGGGGGTGGGGGGCCTCTTACACACACCCCAGCTGAGCAGTTCAGTGAAGCCCCCATGCTCCTCAGCTTACGCTTGAGCCTGAGAGACATTGGCACTTGCTCACCGTGGAGAGCTGGGCCATGTATCTTGGAAGAAGCAGCCAAGATAAAGTCCAGTCATCTTGATATAACAGCGTACACCAGTATTTAAAAGGTAAAGGGTAAAGGGACCCCTGACCATTAGGTCCAGTTGTGGCCAACTCTGGGGTTGCGGCGCTCATCTTGCTTTATTGGCTGAGGGAGCCGGCGTACAGCTTCCGGATCATGTGGCCAGCATGACTAAGCCGCTTCTGGCAAACCAGAGCAGCACACAGAAACGCCGTTTACCTTCCCGCTGGAGCGGTACCTATTTATCTACTTGCACTTTGACGTGCTTTCGAACTGCTAGGTTGGCAGGAGCAGGGACTGAGCTACGGGAGCTCACGCCGGCAAGGGGATTTGAACCGCCAACCTTCTGATCAACAAGTCCTAGGCTCTGTGGTTTAACCCACAGCGCCACCCGTGTCCCACCAGTATTTAGCTGCTAATATATCACGGTGTTGAAAACAAAGTATCTGCCAGCCCTAGCACTAAACTGAATCATCAGAGGGTGAGCTAATCATAGTGGCAATTTCCTTAGCTATTTCCCCTGTTGGACTTCCAAGATGAGACATGAATCCCAAACTCATAAGGCAAGGTTCACCGAAAACCCTACCTACAAGCAGTGGGAGAGTCCTCTAAACTTGACAGTCCTTGAAAGCAATTAGAAGTTCTAGTCTTTTAAAGTTCTAGTCAATTAAAAAGTAGAGAGCGAGGGGAAGGGACCCATTACATTTTTTTTTAATGATAAGCATGTGAATCCACCCTGTGTATCAAGTCTCTCTCACACACCTCCAATTGCAAGAGCCCTAGGAAACTGTGTCAGAGGTTTGTGCCCAATCCCAGCTCACTTGCTATCCAGAAACTCTTTCACAGGTTTTTCCCCTGCCAGCAAGCACTGTACAAATAACAAGATAAGTGAGTCCCTGGCAGGGAATGGTGCCACGGACTCCCAGGGTGTGTTCTGCAGACCCCCAGGGGTCCCCAGACCCCTAACTGAGAACCACTGATATAACATATAACTTGGCTCTATGGGCCTTGCTGTCACAGTGTGTGTCAATGTGATACACTTCCAAAAGCCACCGTGAAATAATAAACCCTTATTCTGTGCACAACCTTGCTGCTGAAATGAGTTAGCTCGTTTGTTGACTTCTTCCCACAAACAACGGGATGTCGTGGCCTCAGAGCAGGAATTCCCAGAGGCAGAGTCCTCCAGTGAAGGACTCTGGAGAGCAAATGGGTCCGCTCCCTGGTTGATCCCACGGGGTGCCACAATAAACAGAGACCTCATCTTCTCCTTTGAACCCTGAAGAGAGGCATCTACCTCCAAACTACAGTGATCCATGGATGTCCCACAGACTTCTTGGAGGATCAGGAGAGACCTGGGAAGATAGCCTCACAGCATGGAACTCCAGCATCTAGACCATCAGTGGGGAACCCACAGCCTGCAGGTATTTTGGGTCTCCCTGTTTGGCCTAGGAGGCTGTTTCCGTCAAGCCATGCCTAAAGCTGATATCATATATGGCACTAGATGTGGGGCAGGTAAAGACACAGCTGGGTCAAAAGGAAGTTTGCAGACAGCACTGATCAGTTGATTGGTGGCACCTACAAAGTCCTATGCAAGGGCTGGCAATCAGCTGGTCATCGAGGCTTGCATAGCACCAACAATCAGATGATCGGTTGCTCCATGGCACCACTGAGCCAATTTGTATGTCCAGGCTCAGCTTCAGGATTGCTAACCATGGTCCTGAAATACCTCTCCTTTGTTCCTCTCCAATGTTCTGATCTTGCCTTGCCTTGCCATCCTGACTGCCTAAAGAGAGCCACTCGTAGGTAGGCCAGAACTGGAGTTATGTGTTCAGACTGTCTGGTCTTAGACATCACATTCTGCATTAGCTGTAGTTTCTGAACCACCTTGCAACACATTGCAGTAATCCAACCTAGATGATGATGATGATGATGATGATGATGATAATAATAATAATAATAATAATAATAATAATAATATACTGCCCTATAGACCTCTGAACCATCCAGATGAGAGTCACAGTTGGCACTCAGTGTTTGGGAGCCCACTTGTGCCTCCAGCATCAGTGAAGGGCCCAAGATGGTGGCCATCTGTCAGGGATGCTTTAGTTGTGATTCTTGTATTGAAGAGGGTTGGACTAGATGACCCTTGGAATCCCTTCCAATCCTACAATTCTACGATTCTAAGAGTGGCCTCAAGCTATGTATCAGCTCCTTGGAAAAGGAAATAGTGAGGAATTTCCCAAATATATAAATAAACTCATCAGTCTCTTATAACATGTCTGCTTCCTAGACCTAAACTGGATTGGTTCCATCCATGTTTCCATGTCAGTTCTCTTTGAAAACCTGAGAATTGTAGTCCTGCAAAACAAAGTTGAGAGAGAACTCTCAGCACCCTGTGGGAATTGCTATTCTTTCATGAAACAATTCCAGCTGAAACCTAGTTAAGATTTACAGCTTAGATGCCTTCTGATGGCCTCGATGTCAACATGTACCTCAGCCTCAAAAGAATTGCATCAGAGAACCATCTGAAGACTCTGTGTAGTTGTAGTTCTTTTCTCATTCCAGGACAGAAGGTGCAGCCTTTTGGGAGAAGTACATGGCATGACCTTGCAAAAGATGCTATCAAAGCAATCGGGATTTGCAAACACAGGCATTCCCCAAGAGAGAGCAGTGCTGTGTCTCTAGAACAGCGTGGTCTTCAATATTCATAGGATCATAAGAAGATCCAACTGGATCAGGCCAAAAGCCTCATCCTCCATGAATTTGTTCAATTCCCTTTAAAGCCACCCAAGTTGGAGGCCACAGTTTAACTGTGCACTGCATGAAGAAGCATTTTCCTTTATCTGTCCTGGATCTTCCAACATTCAGACTCATTGGATGTCCAAGAGTTATAAGAGAGGGAGAAAACCTCTTTCTCCATCCCATGCATAATTTTACCAGCTTCCATAATTTTCTCTTACTTTTTATTTAAACTAAAACATCCCTTTCCTCACAGTTGCTCCATCCGCTTTATCATTGTTTGCCCTTTTCTGAGATATTTAATTTTTTATTCCCCAGAGCCCAACATTTTCTGTTTCTAAAGATTGGCTTTCCTAACCTGTCTCCTCTGAGATTTAGCATTATTCCACCTCCCAGTGTCAAGCTCCTCCACCTTCTCTTCACCGTCTTATTAAGAGACAGGATCCATCCAAGTGAATTATGTGACCAGCCTGGATAGCTCAGTTGGTTAGAGCGTGGTGCTGATAATGGCAAGGTTGCAGGTTCGATCCCCGTATGGGACAACTGCATTTTCCTGCATTGCAGGGGGTTGGAGCAGATGGTCCTCAGGGTCCCTTTCAACTCTTACAACTCTATGATTCTATCTTTAAAAAGAAGGATGCTGGAAAAGGGGCTGGAAAAGACGTCAGCTGCCCTACTATGTAGCGAAGGTGCTACCTTAGGCTGTAGATGTAGGGCACCACCAGTGCTACAAGTGTCAAGGGTGCTCAGTGAAACAGAGGGCCCACTAACAAAAGCTTTTCCTGACCAACTCTCCTCTTTACCATTGCAGTTGGCTGGTTCACCTTTTTCTCCCCTTGCCCAAAGGCAACTTTGGTGGTGAGAAGGGAGTGAAGTAGGTGCGAGTTCCTGTTTGCTCATCATCTCTCTGCTTGGAATGCAAGCATTGATGAAAAAGAGGAGGGGGAGTATGGTGTTAAGGAGCTAAACACACAGAGGAAGAAGAAGAAGAAGAAGAAGAAGAAGAGGAGGAGGAGGAGGAGGAGGAGGAGGAGGAGGAGGAGGAGGAGGAGTTGTTTGGATTTGATATCTCGCTTTAGCACTACCCAAAGGAGCCTCAAAGCGGCTAACATTTTCCTTTCCCTTCCTCCCCCACAACAAACACTCTGTGAGGTGAGTGAATCTGGAGTTGGCACTGGGTGGCATTCACAGCAGCAGAGTTGGAGACCAGGAGATGGAAAGGAAGATCATCTACTTTCCTTTTTACCCAGGCTGGTGCAGAAGAACTTCCCAATAAATTAAGCCCTGTGTGAATTATTGGAATCAGCATGTGCCATTTGGGTTTGCATCCTCATGCATCAAAGCATCCCGGTCTACAAATGATACTGACAGCCTTGGGATGGTTCCACAGAGAATTCTTGGAGGTCTCTACCAAGACATACTGAACTAAGCATTCAGCAGGGACACAGGTGGCGCTGTGGTCTAAACCACTGAGCCTCTTGGGCTCGCCGATTAGAAGGTCGGCAGTTTGAATCCCCACTACGGAGTGAGCTCCCGTTGCTCTGTCCCAGCTCCTGCCAACCTAGCATTTTGAAAGCGTGCCAGTACAAGTAGATAAATAGGTACCACTGTGGCAGGAAGGTAAACGGCGTTTCTGTGCTCTCTGGTTTCCATCACGGTGTTCAGTTGTGCCAGAAGTGGTTTAGTAATGCTGGCCACACGGCCCGAAAAGCTGTCTGTGGACAAACCCAGCTCCCTCGGCCTGAAAGCGAGATGAGCACCGCAACCCCATAGTCGCCTTTGCCTGGACTTAACTGTCCAGGGGTCCTTTACCTTTACCTTTAAGCATTCAGCATCTCAACAAACTTGCCCCTCCTTCCACAGGGGAACTTTATTTGCCAAGCAGAGATACATGAAAATATGACTGAAATAAAACCTTAGATGATGTCTGAACAATCAATGAGGATTCCTGAACAATCAATGCTGGTTGTTCCCAAGTGTTGTTTCAGAATGGCGAGGAAGGCCTTGCTGACAGAAGTCATTGCAGCTGAGCTTCCAGCAGCCAACTTGAAGAACAGGTGAGATGGGTGAGGATGCACATGAAGGCTAATCACCCATCTTTGAGCAGCAAACTCTTTTGAAATGGCAGGGCACATCCAGGAATAGACCCGAAGGGCAGGTCTGATTGACTGGCTGAATGCAGTACCCTCCCATGGAGGAGCAAGTAAGAAGTGCGGCATCTGCAGGGCTGTCTTCTGTAGAAACAACAAGAGAAGGTTTAGAATCACAGAGCTGGACCACCTAGTTCAGTCTTCATCAACCTGGTCTCTTTCATGTATTTGCAACTCCCATCATCCCTAGCCAACCCCTTGGATGGGGCCAATTGTAGTTGGAGTCCAAAACACTTAAAGGGCACGAAATGGGCAAAGGCTGATCTGATTTTTGGAGGACATCCAAAAACGAAGCACCCCTGATAAAGTCAGCCTCTGCTAAAAAAAGGAGAGTGAACAACCTTCTGAGGCCCTCTGTCCCACCATTCAACAGCTTGTACTATCAGGAAGTTCTTCCTTGTACTTAATCTACTTTCCCTTTTTGCCATTTGAACCAACCTTTGGTTTAGATTCTAACATGTGGAGTAGTTTTCCCCAACCTGATGCCCTCTATATTTTTTGGATGGCATCTCAACCACCGACCTTGGGTGAAGCTGCAGCAACCCTGAGAACCCTTGGCAGCCCACTTTGTTTTAGACTTAAACCATCTGCCTCAGAAGATCAATGCTAGTGTTTTCCTTTTGCCTAACTTGGTCTGGTCCACTACCAGTGACTGATATTGGCGGATACTGGGGTATCTCTGGAAGCAGAATTTGACCAGAAGCAGGGGAGCAGGGAAGTGTCCAAATCTGCTAGAAGGGCATGCCTGAAGTGAGGAAATAAGGAAAGAGACTGCCAGTGAAATTGGTGCCAGACTGCAATTTGAAAAGAAGAACATCTGTAAATAGCCTTCTGTAGAACGATAAGGAGAAAATCAGATCAGGAGGTGGAGAAAACAATGGAGGTCAAGTCTAGGCCAATACCTCCCAAAAACAGCAAAACAACTAAAGATTGGTGAACTTTTAATGACTACAGCTTCCACCTTCCCTGACAATCTATCTATAAAACACACAGAGACTGTGGCCAATTATTTCATCATTTTTTTTTTGCTATTCTTCTTCTTAATCTTTCTTGGAAATTTTCCAATAACGCATACAGCAAGCCTCTGTGGTGGTCATGGGGGACTTAGAAACATATACTAAGAATCTACAAGTATGTGTTTTAGAACAGAAAAAATGAACCTATATATTTAGCTCAGTATATTAGAACAAATAAATGATTTATTCCCCTGATATTTTTTAACACGATTCTAACCCGACTGACTATTCTCTACTATTGTAATTTTGTAGCTTTCCCCATTTATTATATTTCATTTTTGCATGTACAGTCATACTTCGTGTTGCGTTAGGTTCATGTTGCGTCTTTTCGGCTTGCGAACGCGGCAAACCCCAAAGTGTATAGTTCCGGGTTTCGCTACTCGTGTGTGCGCAGAAGCGTTCTGCAAGCTTTGCACATGCACAGAAGTGCTCTATCGCGTCGTGCATGTGCACAGAAACGGCACTCTAGTTACGCACTTTTTGGGGTGCAAACGGCACCCCGGAACTGATTGTAACTAGAGGTACCAATGTATGCTTTAATTGTTGCTGCAAACAGCCCTGGGAATAGAGTTAGAGGATGGAATAAAAACAAATATTAGAGCTGTGCTCCAGATCCAGCTGGATCCTGGATCCCAAGCCAAATCAGAACATGAACATGGGGGGTGGGGTAGGATGTGGCACATGTTCTGTCATTGCTCACCTTGAACAGTCCATAATAATAGTAAGATGGCAGCAGAGAGGCAATGAAGGATCTTCATGACTAAAGTTCAGCTGGAGTCTCGGTAACCTTAGAAAGAAGACACACACTGAGATGAAAGCAGACTGGATAAGAAATTTGTGCGCTTATTAAGCCAGGGGTTGCCAGTGTAGTGTCCATGGGCACCGGTGTGCCCCCAATACCTCCTATGGTGCCCACAAAGGCACTCAGTAAATATCTCCTCACCAATCCCCGAAAAACAAGATGCTCTTACTGTCCAGTCTCTGTTTGTGCGGGCTTAGACCCTCCTACGTTGAATACACCCCCTTAAAGATGCCTGTACTTCACTGAATTGCCAGGACTGGACACCCACCCTCCCATCAGTTCTGGACAGACAGGAGAAGAGCTTCTCTCTGCAAGCCAACACAGTGATGGATAATAAAGTATAAATACCAACAATTGCGAGCGCTCCAATTGGAGAACAGCCTTTACCAAAGGTGTCACATGGACTTTGAAGAAACTCGAATTCAGGTCGAAAGGGAGAAACGTGCTAAGAGGAAGGCACGTTTGGCAAACCCTCACCATGATCAACTCCTGCCCGGAAACCTATGCCCCCACTGTGGCAGGATGTGTGGATCCAGAATTGGCCTACACAGTCACTGTTAAGCCCATGTTCATGGAAGGCAATCTTACACATGGAGTGATCACCAAAGCAGAAGGATGATGAAAGTACTTTTCTCTGCACTGTCAAGATGTGGCAACCTTTATGCCATGCCCTCATGGCAGCCATTTTGTGGCTAGTGCCCATGGCAAATGTGCCCAAAAGGTTTGCTTTACCCCTCTCCTAGTCTAACCAGCTCACCACACTGGGCCTCACCCATGGATCCTTTTGTGATGACAGTAGCACTGTAAATACTGGAGCTTGCTCAGAATTCCAAGGAGGAACAGGTTTGTCAGTTGGTAGGAAGGCAGTTACAGGGGCCTGAAAGAGGAAGACCTGTGTGTGGGGGGTGGGTGGGTGGGTGTGTTACACAGTGCAGTTCTATATCTGTCTCAGAGAGACTGCTATATGCCACTAAAATCATTGGATATGGCTGAGATGGCAAAGTTAACATGTTTAACGACAGAAAAATAATTGCTGACATTTGCTAAGGATGGGAAATTTCTTATGGACTTTGTGTGTGAAAGACAAAATGGACTTGTAATATTATATGTAGCCACAAGACAGAGAGCCAGAAGTCCCTTTACTTTTTTCTTTATTTTGGTAGCTCTTCCTGTTTTTCCCTTTTCTCTCCATTTCTCTTTTTCTTAGGTCTCTCTCCTTTTCTGGTCTTCTTTCTTGTTCTTCTTTCTGACTTTTTCTTTTTTTAGACTAAGTAGCTGTCTTATCTTAGCATGTTATTTTAAGGTAAAGGTAAAAAGGTAAAGGACCCCTGGACAGTTAAGTCCAGTCCAAGGCGACTATGGGGTTGCGGCGCTCATCTTGCTTTCAGGCTGAGGGAGCCGGCGTTTGTCCACAGACAGTTTTCCAGGTCATGTGGCCAGCATGACGAAATTGCTACTGGTGCACTAAGGACCGTGGCGAGTGCTTTGTAATGGGTATGTAGTTCTGTATATCTATGAATAAGTATCACACACACAAACACACATCTGCCTCCTCAGAAATAAATATCATTGGGCTCAGTGGGTCTTACTCCCAGGTCAATGTGTATAGAATTGCATTCATAATGATCTCTCTCTCTCTCTCTTAAGTGAATGAAGTTCATGTCTCAACAGAAGTCATTCATATGCAATAACGTATCGCGTGCCAAGTGTTCACATGATTTATGGGCTGGCTCACACTTACACATGCATCAGATATTGGCCTCAGCATCCGATGATGCTTTCCATTACACTCGTAATTTTCACATTGTTCACATGGATTCCAAAATAGCAGTCACATGCAACGATATGCATACCCTGACGCAGCACTCTCTGCAGCTGCGTGGTCTTTTTGAGTTTAGCTTTTGAAAATAAAAGGAAATCTAGAACTATCCAATTGCTCCCCGCCCCCCGAGACTCTTGTGCCCGGCCAGTTCCTCCACAATATGCACACAGAGAAAAACATACCATGACAGGAAAATGAAAGAGAAAAAACCCTTTTACCTTTGTGACAGGGAAGAGGGATAATGATTGCAGGGAGATCTTGAAGAGAGCCTCTCTGCCTATCTGACTCTGAGCTGAAAATGACTGCCATACGGAAGCTCAGAGGTGTAGTTTCCTGCCAGGCTCATGGGGACTGTAGTTTTCTCAACTTCCTGATTCGAATGCCAAAGAAAGCAATGTTCTGCAATATGCCTCTGGGTATCCGTTTCTGGGAACTGCAAATGGAGAGAGGTCTATTGTGACTGTTAGACAGATGTGCAAATATAGGATAGGGGATACCTGGCTTGACAGCACACCACGTGAAACGGATATGGAGTTTTTAGTGGACCACAAGTCTGGCATGAGTCAACAGTGTGATGCAGCAGCAAAAATAAAACTAATGCAGTTCTAGGATGCATCAACAATAGAGTCCAGCTCCAGCGAAGTAATAGTAATACAGTGGTACCTCGGGTTACAGACGCTTCAGGTTACAAACGCTTCAGGTTACAGACTCCGCTAACCTAGAAATAGTACTTTGGGTTAAGAACTTTGCTTCAGTATGAGAACAGAAATCATGCGGCGGCGGTGTGGTGGCAGCAGGAGGCCCCATTAGCTAAAGTGGTACCTTAGGTTAAGAACAGTTTCAGGTTAAGAATGCACCTCCAGAATGAATTAAGTTCTTAACCCAAGGTACTACTGTAGAAGTAAAAAGATTTAGTTACAGGTAGGTAGCCATGTTGGTCTGCCGTAGTCAGGGGGGGGGGATTCCTTCCAGTAGTACCTTAGAGACCAGCTAAGTTTGTTCTTGGTATGAGCTTTCGTGTGCATACACACTTCTTCAGATACACTGAAAAAGAAGTCAGCAGACCCTTATATATAGTGAGAGGGTGGAGAGGGGTATTACTCAGAAGGGTGTTGGGAATGGGTGATTGGCTGAAAGGTGTGGTAAACCTGTTGACGACTGTTAATGACTGCAATTGGTCTTACAGGAAAAAGCAAGGGATGAGATGGCTAAAAATAGCTTTATTATGTATAATGAGATAAGAATCCAATGTCTCTATTCAGACCAGGGCTCTCCATGGTTTTAAGTTTGGAAATAAGTTGCAATTCAGCAACTTCTCTTTCCAGTCTATTTCTGAAATCCTTTTGTAATAAGACAGCTACTTTGAGATCTTGTATATAATGTCCTGGGAGATTGAAGTGTTCTCCTAAAAGTGAAAAGTGAAAATTGACAAGCTGGAACATTTGCAGAGGAGGGTGGCGAAGATGATCAAGGGTCTGGAAACTAAGCCTTATGAGGAACGGCTGAGGGATAAGAGGAGACTGACAGGTGACAAGTTAGTCATATCCAACTACATAAAGGGCTGTCACATGGAAGATGGAGCAAGCTGGTTTTCTCCGGCTCTGGAGGGTAAGATTCAAACCATGCCAGGGATGCTAACTTGAATAAAATATTGGGGGAGGGCAGGTAAGCCCCACCCTGCATAACTGATCACATGACACAGTACACACACACACACACACACACACCCATTTGAATGGCAATGCCCATCAACTTTGGGGTGGCCCAGCCTCCTCAAATATTTTATTGCAGAGGGGCCTGAAGCCCCTGAGCCCCTAGGATTTGGCTCCTATGAGCCATGCAATTCCCCTCAGCTTGAATGCCAAAGGTTCCAGGGTTCATCCCTGGCATCTCAAAGTAGAATTAGGAGAAATTGTTGCCGAAAACCCTGCCTATGGCTCGCAGCTGGCTTGTTGCTATTGGGATTGGGGGGGAAATTGCTTTGGTGTGCATGTAAAGGCATATTTATCTACTTCCCACCCCCCCAAAAAAAATATGCCAACCGAAACATTGATTCTTTGGAATTCGCACTTATATGAATTTTGGGATAGAGAATCATAGGAGAGTTGGGTCCTTGAGGACATCTGCTAGCCACTGCAATGTAGGATCTAGTTCTCCAACCAGTGTTTGCAAGAATGCATATTTTAGGAGATAGCATGCATAAAAATGAAGATATTTGTTACTATAACATACAAAAACGCATCTATATTCAGAGTGATCACTTGCAAAAAAAGAAGTGTGCAAGTTAGTCAAAAGAGCTTATAAAAATGTTTTCATTAGAAGCAGTTCGGACTAAAAGGATGGTGAATTTTAATGAGGTTTTTGTTCAGACAAAAAAACTAATTGCTGCAAAATGTAGAGAAGTGAATTTAAGTTTGGAAACTGAGAGAACCGAAATAAACTGATCCCTCCATCCCTAGCTGCTATACAAAATTCATGCTAAGCTTGGGTCCAGGAAATACTTTGCTTCCTTCAAGATGGTATAGCAGGGTGGAAGGTGTCCAAGACAGCCATTTCAGAGGCCTGAGACAAAACTCTTCTCCTGTTGCTGCAGAGAGCCTGTAGGGTGTGTACTTCGTGCAGTGCATAGTTAAACTGTGGAACTCTCTCCCACAGGAGTCAGTGAAGGCAACCAATCTACAGGGCTTTGTTCTGCCCTCCACAGTTTGAGGCAGCAATGCTTCTGAATACCAGCTGCTGGAAACCACTAAAGGGGAGAGCACTCTCGTGTTCAAATCCTACTTCTCACAGGCATCTGGTTGGCCACTGTGAGAACAGGATGCTGGACTTTATGGGCCATCAGCCTCATCCAGCAGAGCTCTTCTTAGGTGCAACAGGCTTTTGTGGTGGTCCAGAAGCCCCCCGCAAAACCTGTTTGATCACACTTAAGTATGTGTTGCTCATGGAAATGAATGTCTACTTTATTGCCATTATCTCTGCAAAGCTTCTATTCCAAGTGCCCATACAGAAGGAGCATTATGTTCCGAACTGTGTAACTCAAATAAGCCCCCACCCCAAGGCTGTATGATACCATGTTTACATCACTGGAGCAAAATGCTTCCTTTTTTAGATTTTGCATTGCTTCTCTAAAGTTTGGACCTGGGTGGTGATATGTGAAGGCCAAATTAGGTGGCCTTGGATGTAACCACATCAATACAATGTAGACAGAGCTATAAAAAGGTAAAGGCAAAGGACCTCTGACTGTTAAGTCGAGTCGCAGAGGACTCTGGGGTTGTGGCGCTCATCTTGCTTTATAGGCTGAGAGAACCGGCGTTTGTCCGCAGACAGTTTTTCCAGGACATGTGGCCAGCATGACTAAGCCGCTTCTGGAGCAACGGAACACCGAAACCAGAGCAGCGCATGGAAACGCTGTTTACCTTCCCGCTGGAGTGGTACCTATTTATCTACTTGCACTGACGTGCTTTTGAACTGCTAGGTTGGCAGGAGCTGGGACCAAGCAACGGGAGCTCACCCCGTTGTGGGGATTCGAAGCGCTGACCTTCTGATCGGCAAGCCCAAGAGGCTCAGTGGTTTAGACCGCAGCAGCACACAGAGCTATACTGATGCACAAATAGTAGACAGGAATGTGTTAGACTTCTGGAATCTGCAGACTGATGCAATTGCTTCAACTTGTTTCATGGCTTGACTGGCCTTCTTCAGTAGTATATCAAAGTATCTATTTCCAGCTGTTTCAGGTGAAATGCATATTTCTCAACCCATCCTTTATTCTCCTTGCCCTACACTGGCTTGTTAAAAGATCTTGCGCTGGCTGGCCTGGAAAAACAGGACTGCTACTTGTCCATTGACATATTTGTCCTATTGACCATTTCAAAACAGTTTAAAGATCCTATTAAAAAATGGGAATGTCACCTCCCAAACCAGTCCAGTGCTGGATTTACTAAACAAGCTATAGCTTAGGGCCCAAAAGTTAGAGCTTAATCATTATTTCACTATTAATATACTTCTTCTTAATTGTATTTCAGTGCAACAATTACATTGATAAATTACATAATCAGGTACAAGCTAATGCAGGGGAAACCCAGCCAGATGGGCGGGGTATAAATAAGTTGTTGTTGTTGTTGTTGTTGTTGTTGTTGTTGTTGTTGTTGTTACATAGCAAGGGAGCACTGGAAGTGCAAATGACTACCAGATTTTGAAAAGCTGGTAGCAGACCCTCCAAGTGTCCCTATTTTCCAGGGATGTCCCTTATTTAGAAAATCCATCCCAGTTTCTGATTTGATCCTGGAATGTTCCCACTTTTTCTGAGGATGTCCCTATTTTCATTGGAGAAATGTTGGAGGGTATGGCGTTATTTGACTCCTGAGCTGTCTAAAGGCAATCCTGTATAGGGAAGTTTTTTCAATGTTTAATGTTTTATTATGCTTTTATATACAGTTGTACCTTGGTTGTCAAATGCCTTGCAACTCAAATGTTTTGGCTCCGCAAACCCAGAAGTGAGTGTTCTTGTTGGTGAACATTCTTTGGAACCCAAATGCCCAACATGGCTTACACAGCTTCTGATTGAGTGCAGGAAGTTCCTGCAGCCAATCGGAAGCAACCCCTTGGTTTTTGAACGTTTTCATTCCATTTGAGAACCAAGGTACGACTGTATGTTGGAAGCTGCCCAGAGTGGCTGGGGCAACCCAATAAGATGTGTGGGGTATAAATAGTAAAATAATCATTATGGAATGGGACGTCGCTATTTTCATCGGATAAATGTTGGAGGGTATGTGATAACACTGCATCAAGTTCATCAACTTTGTTGAATTAATTAAACTAAATGGGATTTGAATTAATGCATAATAAATTGTTACTGTTTTGAATTTTATTGTGCTCTGATCATCCTTAGTGAGTCATGCAAACTGCAAATCTGAATGATGCCTTTTATTGGGTAGGTTAGGAGACTATTTTTGGAACCAAGGAGGTGTTAAGTATAGCAGTTTGATTCATGGAAATTGTAAATGCTTGTATGCATTACTATGTGTTTAAATTAGATTGATTGGTAACTGATAGATAGATAGATAGATAGATAGATAGATAGATAAATTTATTGTCATTGTCCGTATATACACAGTATACACAACAACGAAAATCAAACACCCACCCAAAGACCGGGTTCACATATATGATTACTTGGTAACTAGAGAGTTCACTAGTAGTTCTTATATGATTGGCTAACGATGGTCACATGAGGGTATCTAGTGAAGGAGAGACTCAATTTTATGTGAAGCAAGATGACTGTGTTTCAGAATCCACTGTGAACACTGCTGAGTTGAATAGAGTGTTTGGAGTGCTTCTTCTCTGCTTGAAAAGAAAGAAAGCAAAGATGCAGGAGAAGGTAAAAGTGGAAATATATCATAGGAGCTGCAAGGCATGGCCTAACTGTATCTTTTTAATTGCTACCTGGGAGCCTTCAACTGTCAATGATGAGGGATGAGTGTGCTGGTCCCGTGGGTTTCCATGAGGCATAGTCCGAGTCCAGTCCAAGGTCGAGGGTGCATTATTGAGGCCGTCCATCAAAGCTGAAGCTGGGTCCAAGGTAGGGAGTTGGGCGAGGTCAGGTGATCCGGCAGGACAGGGTGCAGGCAGGAACTGGCTACCAACAACGTTGCTCCCGCAACTTGGGACTGGGGCTGGCTGGCTTTTATCTGCCCCGAGGCATAGGGCAGCCCCAGTCCACAGGTGACTCGCCTCTCCTGGCCTGGAGGCGAGCACTCCTCCTGCGGGAACTTAGTTTCCTCCGCCTCTCTGCCCTAAGCCTCTGCAGCTCAGGAGAGGCTGGAGGGTTACCAAACCCAGAGGCAACCTCAGCTTCCTCTGACGGGGCTGAGAGTGGAGCACCTGCAGGCAATGGGTTCTCCATCACCTCAGGATCCAGAGCAGACTCAGCTGGTGCCTGCACCTGAGGATCCAGCACAGGTGAGGACCCTTCAGGCTCAAGCCCCAGCCCCAGCTCAGCTGGTTCTGGAGGCGGGGACTCCTGTGCAGGCTGGGATTCCTCAGGTTCAGCCTCCGAGTCCGCATCCCAGGCCATCACAATGAGCTTGGGAAGAGTACATTTGGTCCCTCCAGATGTTGTTGGGCTACAACTCCCATCAACCCTGTTCCTTCTGACTGGAGCTGATGAGAGCTGGACTCAAGGAACATACTGAGCTCTGCTTTTCCACACCCTAGCCAATGCACATACTCTTATCCATAGGAGCCAACTTCTAGGAGCCAAAGTCCAATCACCCCCCCCCAATCACCCCCCCCCCAAGTTGATGGGCATTGCCATTCAAATGGTGTGTGCATGCTCCATTTGATCAATTATGTGGAGCGGAGCTTACCTGCACCCCCCCCCCATATTTTATTCAAGTTGGCACGTCTGTCTTACTGTTGAGATGTGGTCTTTTCCATGATCCTCTCCCACACCCTGTCTCACACAGTACAACAATTTATCACATCACACACAACTATAAATATCAGGACGATTGAGGATCACAAAATGGAAGTTGCTCCTTTATTGTTGTTGTTTTTTAAGATGCTGAGCACACAGTTACAGATTTATACCATATTTGTTGTGTTTACCAAGTCCCATTGGCATTCACTTTTCTGACTTGGACAGTCATTGCATGGCTTAGTTTCAACACTGCCATGCTGACTTTTGTAAATTTGTGCTACTTGTCAGTTCACCAAAGGGAGCAACATTTCCTGCCAGGACCACACGGGATCTGAATCTGTAGAGTCGTCCTGCATTTTGCTCTTTTTGGTCGGCAGACACCTCCCAGCTTTCGGCAGTGCAGGGCCCCTGAATGAAAGAGACACATAACTCTGTCATGATTGGGAACTTATCCTACAAGGACAAGGAATAAGAAAAAGAAGAGGAAGAGGAGGAGGAGGAGGAGGAGGAGGAGGAGGAGGAAGAAGAAGAAGAAGAAGAAGAAAAAGAAGAAGAAGAAGAAGATCCACAACCAGACGTACAAATATAAGATGGGGGACACCTGGCTTATTAGCAGTACATGTGCAAAGGATCTAGTGGTCTTCACATTTTTTGCAACAGCAAAAAAAGAGCTAACACTACTCTAGACTGCATCAACAGAAGTACAGTGGTACCTCAGGTTACAGATGCTTCAGGTTACAGACTCCACTAACCCAGAAATGGTACCTTGGGTTAAGAACTTTGCTTCAGGATGAGAGCAGAAATCGCACAACAGCAGTGGGAGGCCCCATTAGCTAAAGTGGTGCTTCAGGTTAAGAACAGTTTCAGGTTAAGAACGGACCTCCAGAACAAATTAAGTTCTTAACCCGAGGTACCACTGTATAGTGCCCAGATCAAGGGAAGTAATAGTACCGCTCTATTCTGCCTTGGTCAGACCACACCTGGAATACTGTGTCCAATGCCAGGCACCACAATTTAAGAAGGATGTTGACAAGCTGGAGCATGTGCAGAAGAGGGCAACCAAGATGATCAAGTGTCTGGAAACCAAGCCTTATGAGGAGCAGGTGAAGGAGCTACAGATGTTTAACCTGCAAAAGAGGGGACTGAGAGGAGATATGATAACCACCTTCAAATATGTCAAGGGCTGTCACATGGAAGAAGGAGCGTTTGTGTTCTCCTGCTCTGGGGGCGGGGGGGGGGATATGATTAAAACCAATTGCTTCAAGTTAAAAGGAAGGAGATTCCAACTAAACATCAGGAAAAATATTCTGACAATAAGAACTGTTCAAGAGTGAAACAGTCTTCTTTGGGAAGTTGTGGACTCTTTTTGGAGGTTTTCAAGCAGAGGTTGAATGGCCATCTGTCACGGACAGGGGCGCCGACTTATAAAAAATATTGGGGGGGCCCATACCAGGGTCCTGCCCCGGGAAGTTTTCTAAGTTCCAATGTCAGCGGCGCCCGGCAGAGCAGCCCTCTCGGCCACGGCAGCCCGGCTCTCCCAGCCCCCGGGGGCCGCCCTCCTCCCTCGCGCACCCACAGCTTTCCCGCCTGGGGAGGCGGCGCCCCCCAGAGAGGCGGCGGCGGCGGCGGCAGCAGCAGCCGCACGCGGCCCGGGCTCCCCTCGCCGGCCGCGGGAGCCAAGGCGCGCGACGAGGGCAGCCGAGGAAAGGAGCGCGCGGCCCCGCCGTGGCGGCGGCGACTCCCGCAGCGCCTTTTCCGCAAGGCCCGGGTGACGTCTCCGGCGGAGGACGTTTCCGCTGCGCGCGCCCAATAATTTTCTTAAATTATTGGGGGGCAGAGCCCCCCAATAAAATTTTTGAGGGGGCTCGGGCCCCCTCAGGCCCCATGGAGTCGGCGCCTATGGGACTCACGGATGCTTTAGTTGGGATTCCTGCATTGCAGAGGGTTGGACTAGATAACCCATGAGGGTCCCTTCCAACTCTATAATTCTATGATTCTATGTTGGGAGATTGGAAGACATTATTTGCATGCAGATATTGGCATATCCAATCCCTGGCGTCTCCTAGCGAGGACTGGAAATGATTCCAGTCTGCTCACAGGCCACAACGGATAAAAGAAAACTGCCCATGTCCATTGAAAACTTCATTGCAGGATTTGAAATTGATGTTGATCCAAAGAGCCAAAAATAGCAATATGGCTCTGGAGGAGCAGCAGGGATCAGGGCAGTCTACAAACATATACCTATGTGGCTGGAGAACTATTAGACTGAAAATGGACGAACCCATTAAAACAGAACAAAATAAATAAATAAATAAATAAATAAGCATCCCAGATCAGGCCAATGGGTCTTCTAATCCAGGATCATGTTCACACAGTGGCTAATGAGATTTGGACGTCATTAATTTCCCCTCCTCCAGCTAAGAGCAACGGGTATTCAAAGGAATAATGTGCCTGACATTGGAAGGAGAATGTAAGAATGTCGGTATAATATCAATATCAAGGGGGAAATAGATACCTACCTCTGAGGCCAGAAAAGAACTGTCTTAGGATACGGAAAGGAAGGATGTGATCAAGGAGATCGTAATCGGTTTCCTCCTCAGAATCAGGATCACCTTCTGAAGGAAAATCAATTTCATCAAATGCGTCATCAGATGAGGTGCTTTTGTGCGCAGGGACTTTCTCCTGTTGGGAAGGTGCAGATGAGGTGGCCTGCTGGTCAGGGACTTGCTCCTCCTGCTGGGAAGGTGGAGATGAGGGGGCCTTCTGCTCAGGGACTTGCTCCTCCTGCTGGGAAGGTGGAGATGAGGGGGCCTTCTGGTCAGGGACTTGCTCCTCCTGCTGAGAAGGTGCAGATGAGGGGGGCTTCTCTTCAGGGACTTGCTCCTCCTGCTGGGAAGGTGGAGATGAGGGGGCCTTCTGGTCAGGGACTTGCTCCTCCTGTTGGGAAGGTGCAGATGAGGGGGCCTTCTCCTCAGGGACTTCCTCCTGCTGGGAAGGTGGAGATGAGGGGACCTTCTCCTCAGGGACGTCCTCCTGCTGGGAAGGTGCAGATGAGGGGGCCTTCTCCTCAGGGACTTGCTCCTGTTGTGAAGGTGCAGATGAGGTGGCCTCCTGGTCAGGAACTTCCTGCTCCTGCTGCGGGGGTACAGATGAGGGGGCCTTCTGCTCAGGGACTTCCTCCTGCTGGGAAGGTGCGGATGAGGGGGCCTTCTCCTCAGGGACTTGCTCCTCCTGCTGGGAAGGTGCAGATGAGGGGGTCTTCTCCTCAGGGACTTGCTCCTCCTGCTGAGAAGGTGCAGATGAGGGGGCCTTCTGGTCAGGGACTAGCTCCCCCTGCTGGGAAGGTGCGGATGAGGGAGCTTTCTGATCAGGTACTTGCTCCTCCTGCTGGGAAGGGGCAGATGAGGGGGCCTTCTGGTCAGGTACTTGCTCTTCCTGCTGGGAAGGTGCAGATGAGGGGGCCTTCTGGTCAGGGACTTGCTCTTCCTGCTGGGAAGGTGCAGATGAGGGGGCCTTCTCCTCAGGGACTTGCTCCTCCTGGTGGGAAGGTGCAGATGATGGGGACTTCTCCTCAGGGACTTGCTCCTCCTGCTGGGAAGGTGCTGATGAGGGGGCCTTCTCCTCAGGGACTTGCTCCTCCTGCTGGGAAGGTGCAGATGAGGGGGCCTTCTCCTCAGGGACTTGCTCTTCCTGCTGGGAAGGTGCTGATGAGGGGGCCTTCTCCTCAGGGACTTGCTCCTCCTGCTGGGAAGGTGCAGATGAGGAGGCCTTCTCCTCAGGGGCTTGCTCCTCCTGCTGGGAAGGTGCAGATGAGGGGGCCTTCTCCTCAGGGACTTGCTCCTCCTGCTGGGAAGGTGGAGATGAGGGGGTCTTCTCCTCAGGGACTCGCTCCTTCTGCTGAGAAGGTGCAGATGAGGGGGCCTTCTCCTCAAGGACTTGCTCTTCCTGCTGGGAAGGTGCAGATGATGGGGGCTTCTCCTCAGGGACTTGATCCTCCTGCTGGGATGGTGCAGATGAGGGGGCCTTCTGGTCAGGGACTTGCTCCTGCTGAGAAGGTGCAGATGAGGGGGCCTTCTCCTCAGGGACTTGCTCCTGTTGTGAAGGTGCAGATGAGGTGGCCTCCTGGTCAGGAACTTCCTGCTCCTGCTGCGGGGGTACAGATGAGGGGGCCTTCTGCTCAGGGACTTCCTCCTGCTGGGAAGGTGGAGATGAGGGGGCTTTCTCCTCAGGGACTTGCTGCTCCTGATGGGAAGGTGCAGATGAGGGGGCCTTCTGGTCAGGGACCAGCTCCCCCTGCTGGGAAGGTGCGGATGAGGGAGCTTTCTGATCAGGTACTTGCTCCTCCTGCTGGGAAGGGGCAGATGAGGGGGCCTTCTGGTCAGGTACTTGCTCTTCCTGCTGGGAAGGTGCAGATGAGGGGGCCTTCTGGTCAGGGACTTGCTCTTCCTGCTGGGAAGGTGCAGATGAGGGGGCCTTCTCCTCAGGGACTTGCTCCTCCTGGTGGGAAGGTGCAGATGATGGGGACTTCTCCTCAGGGACTTGCTCCTCCTGGTGGGAAGGTGCAGATGATGGGGCCTTCTCCTCAGGGACTTGCTCCTCCTGCTGGGAAGGTGCAGATGAGGGGGCCTTCTCCTCAGGGACTTGCTCTTCCTGCTGGGAAGGTGCTGATGAGGGGGCCTTCTCCTCAGGGACTTGCTCCTCCTGCTGGGAAGGTGCAGATGAGGAGGCCTTCTCCTCAGGGGCTTGCTCCTCCTGCTGGGAAGGTGCAGATGAGGGGGCCTTCTCCTCAGGGACTTTCTCCTCCTGCTGGGAAGGTGGAGATGAGGGGGTCTTCTCATCAGGGACTCGCTCCTTCTGCTGAGAAGGTGCAGATGAGGTGGCCTTCTCCTCAAGGACTTGCTCTTCCTGCTGGGAAGGTGCAGATGATGGGGGCTTCTCCTCAGGGACTTGATCCTCCTGCTGGGATGGTGCAGATGAGGGGGCCTTCTGGTCAGGGACTTGCTCCTGCTGAGAAGGTGCAGATGAGGGGGCCTTCTCCTCAGGGACTTGCTCCTGTTGTGAAGGTGCAGATGAGGTGGCCTCCTGGTCAGGAACTTCCTGCTCCTGCTGCGGGGGTACAGATGAGGGGGCCTTCTGCTCAGGGACTTCCTCCTGCTGGGAAGGTGGAGATGAGGGGGCTTTCTCCTCAGGGACTTGCTGCTCCTGATGGGAAGGTGCAGATGAGGGGGCCTTCTGGTCAGGGACCAGCTCCCCCTGCTGGGAAGGTGCGGATGAGGGAGCTTTCTGATCAGGTACTTGCTCCTCCTGCTGGGAAGGGGCAGATGAGGGGGCCTTCTGGTCAGGTACTTGCTCTTCCTGCTGGGAAGGTGCAGATGAGGGGGCCTTCTGGTCAGGGACTTGCTCTTCCTGCTGGGAAGGTGCAGATGAGGGGGCCTTCTCCTCAGGGACTTGCTCCTCCTGGTGGGAAGGTGCAGATGATGGGGACTTCTCCTCAGGGACTTGCTCCTCCTGCTGGGAAGGTGCTGATGAGGGGGCCTTCTCCTCAGGGACTTGCTCCTCCTGCTGGGAAGGTGCAGATGAGGGGGCCTTCTCCTCAGGGACTTGCTCTTCCTGCTGGGAAGGTGCTGATGAGGGGGCCTTCTCCTCAGGGACTTGCTCCTCCTGCTGGGAAGGTGCAGATGAGGAGGCCTTCTCCTCAGGGGCTTGCTCCTCCTGCTGGGAAAGTGCAGATGAGGGGGCCTTCTCCTCAGGGACTTGCTCCTCCTGCTGGGAAGGTGGAGATGAGGGGGTCTTCTCCTCAGGGACTCGCTCCTTCTGCTGAGAAGGTGCAGATGAGGGGGCCTTCTCCTCAAGGACTTGCTCTTCCTGCTGGGAAGGTGCAGATGATGGGGGCTTCTCCTCAGGGACTTGATCCTCCTGCTGGGATGGTGCAGATGAGGGGGCCTTCTGGTCAGGGACTTGCTCCTCCTGCTGAGAAGGTGCAGATGAGGGGGCCTTCTCCTCAGGGACTTGCTCCTGTTGTGAAGGTGCAGATGAGGTGGCCTCCTGGTCAGGAACTTCCTGCTCCTGCTGCGGGGGTACAGATGAGGGGGCCTTCTGCTCAGGGACTTCCTCCTGCTGGGAAGGTGGAGATGAGGGGGCTTTCTCCTCAGGGACTTGCTGCTCCTGATGGGAAGGTGCAGATGAGGGGGCCTTCTGGTCAGGGACCAGCTCCCCCTGCTGGGAAGGTGCGGATGAGGGAGCTTTCTGATCAGGTACTTGCTCCTCCTGCTGGGAAGGTGCAGATGTGGGGGCCTTCTCCTCAGGGACTTGCTCTTCCTGCTGGGAAGGTGCAGATGAGGGGGCCTCCTGGTCAGGGACTTCCTGCTCCTTCTGTGGAGGTACAGATGAGGGGGCCTGCTCAGGGACTTCCTCCTGCTGGGAAGGTGAGGATGAGGGGGCCTTCTGCTCTGGGACTTGCTCCTCCTGCTGAGAAGGTGCAGATGAGGGGGCCTTCTCCTCAGGGACTTCCTCCTGCTGGGAAGGTGCAGATGAGGGGGCCTTCTGGTCAGGGACTAGCTCCCCCTGCTGGGAAGGTGGAGATGAGGGGGCCTTCTCCGCAGGGACTTGCTCCTGTTGTGAAGGTGCAGATGAGGTGGCCTCCTGGTCAGGAACTTCCTGCTCCTGCTGCGGGGGTACAGATGAGGGGGCCTTCTGCTCAGGGACTTCCTCCTGCTGGGAAGGTGCGGATGAGGGGGCCTTCTCCTCAGGGACTTGCTGCTCCTGATGGGAAGGTGCAGATGAGGGGGCCTTCTCCTCAGGGACTTCCTCCTGTTGTGAAGGTGCAGATGAGGTGGCCTCCTGGTCAGGGACTTCCTGCTCCTGCTGTGGAGGTACAGATGAGGGGGCCTGCTCAGGGACTTCCTCCTGCTGGGAAGGTGCAGATGAGGGGGCCTTCTGCTCATGCCCCTCGTCCTGTTGTTGAGGAGGAGATGCCATTTCAGTCTTTCTTAGCTCTTCCTCTTCTTGTAATGGAAGAATCACGCTCCCTGAAAATAAATTATGGAATTGCTTATATCAGCTTTTGTTGTTGATTTTTGGTTGTTGTGGGTATCAGCTGCTTGAGAAGACTTCTTTAGAAGACAGAGAGCCGTAGATTCTTACATCCTAGTCATAGAGCATTTGCCCCATTTATTCTCTACTTCCATCTTCTCCTAGTCTCCTGGTACTCTGCCATTCTACATTGGCCATTCTAGTTGCCACTCCTCTCCTCTCAGACACCCCTCAATGTGGTAACATTCATAATCTTTATTTTCTGTTTCATGGGGTACCAAGTAGGTTAGCAGCTGTACTTCCTGAGTTACTCTTGGCACATCTGACATGACTTTTATTTGATTCTGATCAGGACATTTTGCTGGTCAGAGCAATTCCCTTATCAGTAAACAGACTTTTTTTATTTTCTGCTTATGCAAGTATTCAAGATCTTGAGGTGCTTTTCCCCCATAGTGGGGGGGAAATGCAGTTTTCCTCAGAGGGATATCTCCCCAAAGTATAAGCCATGAGTTCAGTGCTGAAACCAGGAAGCTGCACCCATATAAGATGGGGGACACTTGGCATGCCAGTAATACATGCAAAAAGGATCTGGGGATCTTAGTAGACCACAAGCGTAACATGAGTCAGCAGCAAAAAAAAGGGCTAATGCTATTCTAGGCTGCATTCAGGGACGTCTTAACTGTTATCTCTCTCTTTTTTAAATGTAAAATTGTAATTTATTTCCCTCCCAAGTATCCAGAATAGCCCATCAATAAACAAATTAACAAAATGATGTTCATGTGGAAGTAAAGGAAGAAGCGGCGAGATTACACCAAAGGAAACCTAGAAGTCCTGTTAATGGGATAGTGCAAGTTAACAGCATGTTGCTGTCCATGTCAACACCTTCGTTTGGATTTTTTAAAAAGTTTTACTTAACAATTTGATGAAAGAAGAGACGAAGGAGAACGTCAAGGAGAAAATAACTAAGGAAATAGCAAATTGGTTAGATATGAAAGAGGAGGAGGTTGCATATACGATAGAAAATGCCTTTAGAATTAAAATGAGAACATACCAGAATAGGACTAAGAAACCCCTTGGGGATTGCTTAGTAATGTTTAACTCAATTGGAATGAGGAATCTGATACTTAAAACGAGCTATCATAAAAAAACTAATAATAGGTGGCAGACCAATAATCGTGTTCAAAGAGATTCCGGTTAGACTGTTACGCAAGAGGGAGGGTTACAGGCAAATAACAGGTGTTCTGAGAAGGAACAACATACAATTTAGATGGGAATTCCCCGAAGGGATTGCCTTTTTCTTTAAAGACAAGAAATTTAAACTGACCAACCCGTTGGAGGTAGAAAAGTTCCTGAGGAGATATGAGAGGGAGCTTGGCAAAAGGGAGGATAGAGTGACAGACAGAAAGGATGCTGGGGATGGGAGGGGGGAGGAAGGGGGAAAGGCGAAGATGCGGGGGGGAGGGGGAGAGGGGGGGAGGGCGGAAGAGGAGGGAGGTGTGGTAGAGGAGGAGGAGACAGAGGAAGAGGAAGAAACAAGGAATTGAAAGTTAGATAGAAACTCGATACACAATTTTAATAATGTCTTTAACTTTTCTAACCTGGAATGTTAATGGTCTAAATGACAAATTAAAAAGGAATAAAATAGAGAAAGCTTTGAGAAATAAAAAATGTGACGTGGTTTGCTGTCAAGAGACTCATGTAGCAAAAAAACACAGACATATATTGGTTAATAAAAAGTTGGGAATGGAGTTTATTAATTCAGACATGAAGAAAAAGAGAGGGTTGGTGATCTATGTTAGAGAGAAATTGGAACCTAAAATGATTTGTAAAGACGAGGAGGGAAGGATCTTAGGGATCCAAATTACCCATCAAGGGGAAAGACTCAATGTAGTTTCAGTCTATGCCCCCAATGCAAACAAAGCTGAATTCTTTAAAAAATTGGAGCAAATACTATTAGAATTAGAGAACTATAAACTAATCTTACTAGGCGACCTGAACGGAGTCCCTGAACCTGAGATAGATAGAAGCGAAAAAAGAAGGAAAGGGAGGCAAGGGAAACTCCCAAAAACTTTCGATGATCTCCAAGAAAACTTAGACCTGATTGACATTTGGAGGTTTAAAAATCCAATAGATAAGAAGTTTACACATTTCTCAGGAGTACACCAAAGTTGGGGTAGAATAGACCAGATCTGGGTCTCTAGAGAGCTTTCGATAAGATCGGCGAAATGTGAAATAGAGCCTAGAACACTCTCGGACCACAACCCAATCTTCCTGGAAATAAAGTGTAAATCACTAGGACCATACAGATGGAGAATGAACGATCAACTAATGGAACAAGACGAGACTATTGGTAAGGCAAAAAACATCTTGAAAGAGTACTTTGACTTAAACTTAAACAAAGAAACTAAAATTGATGTGGTCTGGGACGCTAGTAAGGCCGTACTTAGAGGTTTTTTGATCCAACAGAATAAATACAGAAAGAATTTAAGAGAGGCAAAGAAGGAAGAAATAATTAAACAATTAAAGGAAGCAGAGGGGAAATTAACAATAAACCCTGGGGATGAGAGGACTAAACAAATCTGCAAATTACTACAAACCCAATACTCAACACTGCTAAATCAAGAAATAGAATGGGGAATAAAAAGGATGAAACAAAAATACTTTGAGTCGGCAAATAAAACGGGTAAATTGCTAGCATGGCAACTGAGAAAAAGGAAAAAACAAAGTGTGATTAATAAAATTAAATCAGAAGAACAAATAATAGAAGACCCCAACGAGATAAAGAGAAAGTTCCTCCAGTTTTATGAAACCCTGTACAAAAAGAGGGAGGATGAGGATACAAACGAGATAGGAAGGTATCTGGAAAAGAATGGAGGGAAACAGCTGACAGAGGAAGAAAAGACACGCCTAAATGAACCAGTAGCGGTGGAAGAGGTTAGAGATGCAATCAAGAAATTGAAACCTGGGAAGGCCCCAGGCCCAGATGGCCTATCACAAAAGTACTATAAAACCTTAGAGGAGTATCTGGCCCCGGTACTCTGTAATGTAATCAACAACATTTTAGAAGGAGGGGAAATACCCGATTCGTGGAGAGAGGCGTACATTACAGTAATACCCAAAGCAGACTCAGATAGACTCGATATAAAAAACTATAGACCAATATCATTGCTCAATAACGACTATAAGATCTTTGCAGGAATAATGGTGAATAGATGAAAGAAATATCTGAATAGAGCGATTCATAAAGATCAAGCCGGATTCCTGCCTGGTAGGCAGATAAAAGACAACGTAAGACACGTAATCAACATAATTGAATATCTGGAACTAAGGAATGACATCCCGGCCGCCCTAATGTTTATAGACGCCGAAAAGGCCTTTGATAACGTTTCTTGGCATTTCTTAATAAAATGCTTGGAAAAGGTAGGAATGAAAGGACCATTCTTAAAAGGCATAAGGGCGATTTATTCAGATCAAAGGGCGAAGCTAATTATTAATAGTAACCTGACAAATTCATTCATGATCTCAAAAGGCATAAGACAGGGGTGTCCCTTATCACCCCTATTATTTATTACGGTCCTGGAAGTTATATTGAACAAAATAAGAGAAACATCGGAAATAAGAGGGATCAAAATTGGCACAAAAGAATATAAATTAAAGGCATATGCCGATGATTTAGTAATTTCAGTAGAAGATCCCATAAAAGGGATAAATACAGCTATTGAGTTAATGGAGGAATTTGGAAGGTTATCTGGGTTTAGATTAAATAAAGTTAAAACAAAGATGATGGTAAAAAATGTGGATGAGCAAACAAAAAACAAAATTGAGTCCGAATCGGGGATAAAGATATCAAAAAAGGTTAAATATTTGGGCATCTGGGTCTCCCCAAAAAATATAAATTTAGTGGAGGACAATTATGATAAAATTTGGAAAGAGTGCAAAAAAGATTTGGACAGCTGGAGTAGATTACAGCTCTCTTGGGAGGGGAGAATGGCTGCCATTAAAATGAGTATCCTTCCAAAAATGATATTCTTATTTCAAAACATCCCAGTAGTCAGGGGCACAACAATGTTTAAGGACTGGCAGAGAACCCTGTCTAGATTCATCTGGCAGGGTAAAAGGGCTAGAATTAAATATAAGCTGCTAACTGACAGAAGAGAAAGAGGTGGGTTTGCGGTCCCAAACTTGCAATTATACTACGAGGCCTCGTGCCTCTGCTGGATTAAAGAATTAAAGTTTTGGATAACACCGACCTACTAGACTTGGAGGGCTTTAATGCCAGATTCGGGTGGCATGCTTACTTATGGCATGATAAGGGGAGAATACATAAAGGATTCTCCAACCACATTATAAGAGGGGCGCTACTAGAAGTATGGAATAGATGTAAGAGATTGGTAGAAAAGGACACCCCGTGGTGGCTGTCACCCATTGACATCTTAACAATCAACAAACTAAACATGGAAGGTAAAAGGTGGACATACGCTGATCTCTTGATAAGATCTGATAAAGGATGGGAAATTAGACCCTACGAAGAATTAAAAGATAAACTAACGGGATGGCTACAATTCCACCAAATTAACTCCTTATGGAATGAACATAAAAAAGCGGGAATGAGTAAGAACAAGTCTAAATTTCAGCTAGAGATAATTGAAGGGAAGACCAAACTCTTAACCAAAATGTATAACCAACTATTAGACTGGGATACGATGGATGAGGAGGTCAAAGAGGTTATGATTAAGTGGGCGATAGACCTAGGTTATCCTCTAGATTATGAAAGATGGACAAAACTATGGAATAAGGATATGAAATTTTCAGCTTGTGTCGGACTACGAGAGAACATGGAAAAGATGATGTACCGCTGGTACATCACCCCAACAAAATTAGCAAAAATGTATAAGACCAGGGATAAGACCTGCTGGAAGTGTAAGAAGAAAGAGGGAGACTTCCACCACATGTGGTGGACCTGTGAGGAAGTAAAAAGGTTCTGGGGCTC